GTAGTTCTGTATGTGTGAGCTTTGTTTTGCTTATTCTAAACTCATTTCTAATTTGACAAGCATGATTTGCATGTATCAAAACTTGTTTCAGAAACTCTGTGGGGTTGAAATTTATTTCTAGGAAAAGCAGTTGAGGTTAGTAGAATCACGAGTTTCTTTGGTCTCAGGATTTTTCTTTAATGTGAATTTCGTTAACAAACTTTTCTCCCTCAGTCTAGAGCAGATTAAATCATTTGAAGCACCTGCTACAATCAATTCTGCATCTCTTCACCCTGCGAAAGAATGTTTGGTTGCAGGTGGTGAAGATTTTAAACTCTATAAATATGACTATAATACAGGAGAAGAATTAGGTATGTTTGTCTCCTATAATCATAAAGAAGTTCTGAAATAGGTGTTAGTAAAATAATGACCAGTAAATGAAACTGTTGTACTCAAATGAGGTCTTAGCATAGCATAAAAAAAAAATCTCATTCTGTGTTGCAATAATAGCTGTATGCTGAATTGTCATACTGTTCATTAGATATGTCAGTTCCAAGATTTTATGGAAAATATGATGTGTTGGCCAAATTTGTTTCAGAAAAAGCATATTTTCTTGCTGATCCAGTCCTCATTTAAAAGTGTTTGTGGAAGGAGTGGTTGAAGGAACAGAGCATGTGTACCCCATGCTGCTGGCTTGCTTTGCAGTTTTGTCTAGAATAACTAAGCACCTTTTTCCTTGCAGTTAATGAAACATTAATATCTTAATTATTAAATGCCTAAAGTAGCCATTGCTGACACACCCATTCATGGCAACTCTGTTTTGTATCAGGAACTGATCTGTTTGTACTTAAATTTCAGTTGTTGGCTGAAATTTGAAATTGACAGTCTTGACGTGTTCCCTTCAGAATCTTACAAAGGGCACTTTGGTCCCATTCACTGCGTGAGGTTTAGCCCTGATGGAGAGTTATATGCAAGTGGCTCTGAGGATGGCACACTAAGGCTGTGGCAGACAACAGTAGGGAAAACCTATGGCCTTTGGAAGTGTGTAGTTCCTGGTAAGTGTGTGCTTGGTCTTGGGGAAACTTGGCAACTCTGTGTGCACTTTTGAAGTGATGTCATTAGTGCTAAACACTGAATTTCATGCAGTGATTCCTGTCTTCTGAGGGTTTCTGATCTACTCATATCTGTTAGACTGAAGGATGTACTTTTGTAGCTGTTCTGTAAGCAGTTAACATCACACCCATAAGCTTTTTCAATATAGACACTTTGTGGGTATTTAATCCAAGAGCCTGATGTATTTTTACATTAAAGAATGAGAAATGTGTGATACCACTTCTATAATTCTAAAAGAGAGACTCTCTAGAAGTGTGGATGGTATTTTTCTTTTTTACTGTACTCTGGTTCTTTCAGCTTGGGGAGAGGGAGGCAATAACAATGTGTGGATATTCATTAATAGAATTGCTTGCTCAAGTGTTTCTCCTCAACACTGAATTATATGGAAACTACAATATATATATATTTTTTTAATGAAGGTGGGTGGGGTTTTCTTTTATATTGTACTCTGGTTCTTTCAGCTTGGGGAACATGTGGATATTCATTAATAGAATTACTTGCTCAAGTGTTTCTCCTCAACACTGAATTATATGGAAACTACAATATATATATATTTTTTAATGAAGGTGGGTGGGTGGAACTGAAGGTATTGACTGTTTTTCTACTCTTTCTCTGCAGAAGAGGAGAATGCAGAAGCAGCAAAAGCAAGGACTACTCTCCCAGGAACTGCAGAGGAGGAAATAGGTAATGAACTGAACTGTCAGCTTCAACTGCCTCAGTGTTAAAAGATAGTCAAGATGACAGCATTCCTTAGTATGAAAGAAGTACTTTCCCCTCAAGTGCTTCCTGGTATTTTTGACTCTTTTCAAAAGATCTTTTTTGAAAAGAGTAAAAAATATGCCTGACATTGATTATATGGTGTCAGACTGGTGAGTGGAGCTGTGCAGGCACAACGGATGGGGTAGAACAGCTGGGTCAGATTGAATGGGAAAACAAACTGAACCGGTCTCTTCAAGCAATCCCTGCAACATTTCCTTGGTTTCTATATCTAAAGCGAAATTAAATAACACCCTTTTTATTTAGTTGCAGAAGAGATTGCCTCTGAAAACTCAGATACAGTGTACAGCTCAACTCCTGAAGTGAAAGCCTGATTACTGCAGCTGTTGTGTGACACGTGGACATGCGAGACTGAATCAAGTGAGCAGTGACAGACAGCAGCCTTGCAGAGTGCGCTCCCTCCGAGGGGCAAAGGTGGGCAGTAATTGATGAGAGTGCAGTGGAACTGGCTAGGTGTTGTCTGTAAGAGAACTCAGCATCCAAATAAAAACCCAAAAGACAAGTAGTAGAGTTCTGCTGGCTTTTTGGCATAACTGCCTACTGTCTTTTCAAAGAAGTGTGAAGCCAAGATCCAGTCTCTCCAATCTCAATTAGACTCATTGTAGTGTGTTTTCATTATTACAAAGAAGAGATACAATGGCTTTTACCTTTTTTTTTTTCTTGAAAGTTGGAAAAATTGGCTCTAGTTGAAAAGAAGGGATTATGTACTTAAAAGTATTTGGTTCTGGTTTTGTTTCATTGTATGCTGCTTCTGAATGTTTAACTGTTTTCAGTTGTCTAAATAAAAAGCCTCTCCAAACTCCTACATCACTTTTGAGCGTTGGGTTCATGACATGGAAAAGCAACTGCATTAATCACGTAATCCTTGGCATCTTGGGTTTGTACTATACAGAGAGAAAGCAAAAGAATGTTTTAGTGTTGGTACAGAGGATGGCAAGTTCTTTGATCTGTAAGCTTTGTATCTTTTTTATTCTTTAAAGTTTGAATGTAAACATGAGTCTCTAAAAAGAAAAACAGTGAAAATTCCTAAATTAAACGTGCTGCCTGAAGTATTTGGTTGTACATGAAAATATCAGAGGCTGGCTGCAAATCTGTGTCAAGCTTGGGTTTAGTCCTCCAGACTGGATAAAAAAGTTACTCTTTCAAGGTTACAAATCATATTTTCTTCATTAAAGAAAATGATTGCCATTCTTCCACTTGTCATTTCCTTTAATGTTATGCTGAAAGCTTTACATAATGCATTCTGTGTGGTAAGGAGAAAGAGGTATATTTATTCACACACCTTTTTTCATATTCATACTTGTCCTTACTGTCCTGTTTTTGCAGACTATACCTATTTGAATTTTATTCTAAAGACAAGTAAGTCTGATTTACAGCTAAATGGTTCAGTCTTGCTAATTCCACTAAGGCTTCTGAGGGCTGCATATCTAGTACTTCAGCATAAAAATTTTAATTTATAAATTGGATGTGTTTAAAATGAAGGACTTTGAACACCTTGCCCCATGGTGGAACTTCTTGAATGCTGTGGGTTTTATTCCATATTTGCAGTAGGCTCTATAGCATTTCATAGAGAGGTTTGGAATAGAATCTCAGAATCTATTTAACTGAGGAAAAAAACCTTTAACTTCATCTGTTAACCTAGTTACTCCCAAGTTCACCAGAAAACCACGTCCCTCATTCTGATCACCAGTAAGGGCATCAGCAAAACCCAGATTTAATATTAAGTGACAGGACAACAAAGTTCTTTGGCAAGATTCTCTCTGCTACTTCCAGGACAGTTAAGGCACACCAAGGAAAAACAAGCAACAACAAAACCAAACAAAATCCAGGCAATCGAAACAGAAATGAACCGAGTATTGTTTACAGGGATGTGTGTGTGTGGGTTTAAGTGGCAAAAGGATAGTGAGGGCTTTACAGGGGATGTGTGTTTAAGTGGCAAAAGGATAGTGAGGGTGAGGATAAAAAGAAATGAGCTTTTAGGCTTTACCAGCACTCAACCTTAACACTAATGTTAACTTCTACCTTAAACCTAACAATTTATTGTGGAACAACATCTAACTTTCACCGCACCTAACTTAAAAATTTAACAATTTAACAGAGTAAAAACACTTCACAATATTTAACCTAATTTAGGATTTAACCTTACTTACAAGCTGAATTTACTTAAGACAGGTAACAGTGTTTTATCCCAGACACAGTTAGGATCTGCACTTAGTTTGAAAGTGTGGGAACAGGGATGTTATGCTGTTGGGGCAATAAAAATAATTTCCAAGGCTGTTCCTAAATAAAACAAGATCTCACTAGCCAGCAGCAGTTCCTGGATGAGCAGACAGTGTTTCTGATGAGCTCAAGAGGAGCTGAGCCAGTGCTGTTTGTCAAGGCCAAGGCATTACAAGTATTTCTTAGATGACACTGTGGCCTGGAAAAGGAGGAGGAGGAGGATGCACCACCACATGTGCTTGAAAGCTTGTAATTTTTGGACTGTTTTGACAGGTCCTAAAGTACACAGTGCAAATGGTATATGTTTCTAGAGTGACTGCTGTCTTTCAAACCATTGCTTCTCAAAGCACACTTGCAGTTTTGGATGGGAAAAGTAAAAAAGAAAACTGTTCTCAGGTTTCAGAGCTATAGCCCTTTCCTGCTTTACCTGATGCCGTTGTGAGTTTGAGGTTTCTTTAAATTGGAAACTGTTTCATCTAAACGTCAATATTAACAATGTACATCATATTTTTCATGAGACTTCATGGGGTTTTCACAGATCTGGAAAAAAAAAAATGTAAAGGCCATGAGGTTTTCAGTGGCTTTGTTACCAGAATTTCATTCTGCAGGCACCACTAGAAGTTTTACAGGCTGGCAGCTTTATTAACCCCGTGTGTACGTGTGGCACCAGCTCCTCCTTGAGTCAACACGAAGACACTGGACAGTGCCTCGACTCATCCCCACGCCAACAGCAAGTTCAGCGTTTCCAGCGGGACGGAATATCCATATACTTCCAGAGGAAAGGAACATCCCCAGGGTCAGCGGTGGCTGCGAGCCCTGCCCGGCGCCGTCCCCGCGTGCCGGCGGAGCTCCGCGCCCGGCGCGGTCCCCACGTGGCGGCGGAGCTCCGTGCCCGGCGCGGTCCCCCCGGAGCCTGCCCGGAGCTCCGCCCAGCCGGGCCGCGGGGGCGGCAGCGCGGGCCATGGCGGGGCGGAACCCGGGCACCGAGCTGGGTAAGCGGCGAGCTCACCGAGCGGGGCCGGGGATCCCCGGTGGGCGCTGCGGGTCCCTGGGGCGGGGGTCCCGGGGCGGTGCCGGCTCCCCGCGGCCGGCCGAGCCTCCCCCCGGCGGCTGCGGGACCGTGTTCCTCTGCAAAGCAGAAACAGGAACAGCACTGGGGCTCCTGTGCGTGTTCTGACCTACTCCCGTGATCGGTAACCGGGAGAGACTTTGGGACTGCGGGTTAAACACGAGTTTCCGTGACACACGTGGCTTTGGCTTGAGGGGCTCCGAGCAGGGTCAGAGGCTGTAGAACAGCCCTGGTCCTGTCACAAAGCCGGACCTGCTGGGTTAGAGGCTGTAGGACAGCCGTGGTTGTGTCACAAACCCAGACCTGCAGGGTCAGAGGTTGTAGGACAGCCCCACAGCCCTGGTCCTGTCACAAACCCGGACCTGGTTCTCTCCTGCACACCGTTCTGGTTCTCACGGGATAAACCTTCCTCCCCTCTTTCTCACCAAGAGATTAAAACCACTTAATTTGGGCTCTGATTTGCAAACTCGAGACTCCACCTCTTCTGTTCGTTCTCCCTGTTGCTGGCTCTCTGGGGAGTGGTAAGGATTTTCCAGGTGTTTGCAGCTGGTTTCTGGGCCTGAAAGGTGGCTGTGCCTGAGATAAGGCAGAGAAAGACTTCCTCTGCCTTTTCCTGGCTGGAGTTGCCTTTCTCCTCATTGCTGGGGAAGGGGAAAGTGCTACAACTTCCTCAGCAAAACCCAGCTGCAGCAGTGGGATGAATTGAAGCAGTGACACTTGCTGCAGTCTGCCTCCAAGGTGCGATAATTTGGGCATTATGATGGATAATGAAGTGGAGGAGACACAGGGGTGGCCTCATGGAAGAGGGGGAGCAAAGGCCAGCTGCTGTGGAACACAGAGGTCTCAAAGCTGGCAGGAGCAGAGTTCAGGAGATTGTGGCATCACATGCCTGTCATGAGAACCAGCACAGGCACTTTTCACACAGCCAACATGCAGTTTTGATGATTAGCCTGTGGATGGACAGGGAGAGCTGTGCTTCTAGTCACTGAAATTGTGGAAATGTTACTTTCAAAAGTGAGCTGTCTAATTGCTCTCTGATGTCCTCTTTGATGAGCTGCTCCTAGGGACAGGGGAGTTTCAACTGCAGCCATCCCAAGAATTAAACAAACATTTATAATGCAGTTGAAAAAACATCGCTGTTAGGAAAAACAGCTAGCACAAAAGTCTGCAAATACACTCCAGTTCCTTTAAACTAAAGGTGTGTCATGCTTTTTCTTAGTAAATTCAAGCTTTAAATTAGTTCATGCGTGGGGAATCCAGAAACTCGAAGGTGAAGTCAGCTCAGTTCTGATACTTGTTGCCATCCCTTCCCAGGGATCTTTGTTTAAACAGGCTGTGGTCAAAAGGAGCTGGGTTAGGTGTTCAGGGCAGGGGTAGGAAAGGCTGACACCGTGTTTAAGTGGCACCTTCCAGCCTCTGCCTTATGCTGCCTGCTTTAAAGAGAGAACTGCTTTTGCCTGCCATTTGCTCTGCCTCTAAATATGTGCCTGAAACACAGCAGCATGCTAAACACAGCACTTAACATGTCTTAGTGCTGTACCTTAGCTGGTAGCAGTACTCAGAAAGAACAGGGTAAATAAACCCTTACCTTTATCTTTCATGGTTGCTAGCAATGCTCACTGCTTTTGTCACTCAGGCACTTCAGCTTTTGAAGGTTTTACAAGCCTGTGCCAGCAGCTTTAACACTAATTCAGGTGATTTGCTCTGTTTCCCACACAGCTTTGTGTAGAATTAGAGTTTTCTAACAGAGACATCTAGTGGTAAGATGTATTTTACTTAAAAATACGTTGTTTGTGTCCTTTTCTGTGTCTGTTTTTCCTGTGCTTGCTACATAATGTCATTATCAAAGCAGGAGATCTCTGATGTTGCCATTAGAGAGTATCTATTTGTTTATTTGTTATACTGACAAGCCAAACTCTTCACCAATCATGGCACGTAGTGCTTTCCTGTGTGATTTTTTTAAAAAAAATAAATACATTTTTGTAAAATTCCTTGGTTCTTCCCTCCTTATCTCCTTCCCTGGTACCCATCACTGTGCCTTAGTAGAAGAAGGTGTTTCCTTGGAATAAAGAACAGGTGCATGTTCCACAGATGAAAAGACCCTGATGTGCACAGTCAGAGGCTCACCACCCTCATGCACTGATGCCTTTGCCATCCAAGAGTCGTGCAAAGAAGCTGGACAAAGAGTTTTACAAGTTTTTTCATTCCACAAGGACTGTTTGCAGAGCTTGTGTGCTGAGCTTCACCACGACGCCTGCAGGGATGGGAATGAGCCTGCCTCTCCTGCTCTGCTCTCCAGCTCCCTGGGTTATAACAGCCCAGATGTTTCATGTTTTGTCATGCTTCAAGGAGTACCAGATGCAACTTTTAATATCACTTTACAATGAAATATTGGAATATATCAGTGAGAATCTGTTTTGGAAGTGCAAGCTGCTTTGGTTTAACTGTGAGGATGCAGACAAGGGACCATCCCCTCTACCCAGTCTTGGAATGTACATGGAATATTGGGTCCAGTTTCTCTTTCCAGTAGGAAAGAGAGATTGATAAAACTGTCACAGCTTCAGCAGAGGGACAGCACAATGGGGCTGGGGCTGGAGTGCTTGCCCTGTGAGGAAAGGCTGAAAGAGTTGGGCTGGTTTAGCCCAGGAAAATGAGGGAAAGCTTGGAGCAGAACAGTCAGGTGCTGGGACAGGTTGGGCTCAGAGAGAGGCTGTGCAATCTCCATCCTTGGGGACTCTCAAAACCCTCCTGAATAAAGCTCTCAGCAGCCTGGTCTGACCTCAGAGCTGATGCTGCATTGCTCAGGGGGTTGGACAAATGATCTTTGAAGGTCTTCCAAATTATTCTATGATTATATGTTTTATTACCTCTGTGTGTCTATGTATGTCTGAAAATATATATATATATACACACACACATATATGTATGTATTCTGAGCAATGACTAATTAATTGCAGTTGTTTTGCAATGTTCTTGGATTCTTAAAAAAACCCATTATCTATCTGTGTTGCTCAGACCTTCTAGCTGAAGGGCCAAAAATACATTCATTATGTTTCAATTTATATATTTTTAATTATAGTTGGTATTTCTGAGCCATCTACATGTGAGAGCTAGCCTGTTGGTAAGTGGCATTTGGATAATGAAGTGTTACATCCCTTTTCAAAACAGCATAATTCTGGTCTAATATATTAATAGCTGGTTTTAGCCTGTGCTGTGGCTCTGGTTCTTCACTGTTCTAACACTTTTTGAATCTGGTGGGTAGTTTTAATCAAATTTGAAGGACAAGTAGATTGTCTTGGAAATAAGTTAGGCTCTGGGTGGAGTGACCACATCAGTTCTTTTGAACTGAAAGGCAGGTACAGATCAGCAATTACATGAATTCTCATTGCAACTGTTTTATTTTGGCCTTTATGGCAGTAACAGAGTCCTGTTTTACTCATGGTGGGAAGGACCACATGAGGACAGCTGGGTTTTTTCTCAAGAAGGGAGAGAACAACAGGGGACTTGGGCCTGCAGGAAACCTGGTGTTCTGCAGCTCACTTCCTGAGGAAAGGCTTGTCTGGTTTCCAAAGTGCTTTGGAGGAGGACACCATGATCCATTTTGGGTGATCCGTGGACAGCACTGTGTGATTTCACTGATGGCACAAGGCAGCAGAGCCAATTTCTAGCTCAGGGCTCAAACTTTGGTGTCCTGCTTTGAGTGTCTGGATGCTGATGACTTGGAGACTGAGCTTCTGTCATGTAAAGGAAGACCCACATGAAATTAAGGACCTCTTGGTCCATATCAAGTGTCACTCTGGAAAAATAATTACGGCTTTTGTCTTGACAAAGGTGAATAACCCCAAAATCTCTAAACAGCTTGCACGGTGAGGCAGCTGTAACAAGACCTGATCCCAAAGCCTTTTCTGTCCTCTCAGTGGCTTTGCTCAGCTCTGCGTGGCCAGCTGGGGTCAGCCTGTGTCCAGCTGAGCTCCTCCTTTCCCCACGGAAGGCTCAGGACACAGTTTGGGTCTCTTCTCCCGAAATAACAGCTTTCATCACTTCCCTTCCCATTTTATCGTGCGCTCATGGTAGGAGCAGGAGCACACATGCTGTCCCTGGCACACAAAATGAAATAACCAGTTGAGGGGGGCAGCTCCTTTTGGGAAGAGTGCTGCCTCAAAATGCTTGTGAAACGAACGCCTCAGGCGTTCTTGAGCTTTCTGTTTCACCATCTGAAGGGATGCCATCAACACTTTTTTTTTTTTTTTAAAGCTTCTGTAAAGCTTAGTCTGTTTTATGAGAAATGTGCTATGAAGCTTAGATATTTATGTAATTATCCTAATGAAGTGGTTTTATTTATTGTTTTCTGAGGAAATGCTCGGTATTTTTGGATTCGTGTTCTTCAAAGAGAGGAGATGAATTTCCTGTTAAGGAATTGAATATGATTTTTTCAGATGTCTTCAGAGAAAAAAGTAAACTAGAAGAGTGATTACAGAATATTGGCTAATTAGCTGTAGTGTAACTGCTTTAATTACTTTTATCCCTGAAGCCACATGACTGTGCAGATGACTAGCAGATGACTTATTTAAAAAAAAAAAAAAAAAGACATGTTCACACTGCAAGGTTAATGAGCCTAATTAAATATAGTTTTCCTTAGCCAGATACTAAATCATAAAGCTTGGGGGAATGAGGGAGGGGGAGAATCCAAAGGCAGTCAGTTCTATTTCAAAAAATGGTTTTATTCTGATATTTAATGAAAAAAAAAGAGAAAAGCTGGAATTGTGAGGGATTTTTCTGAATAAAGGCACTTAGATCTAAAGATTTGATGAGACCTCACACGGCAAACTTTGAAAGTCTATTTAGAGACAATTACGCTGAGACATATTTGTTTTCACTTACCCATTGCTTTAATTAATGTAGGAATGGGCTTGAATAAAAGGTCTGTGTTATATGGAAGTCTCCATCTGCTGCTGCATATTACCAGAACCTTTGTCCTTCCTTGCCGTGCCATTTTTATTGCACCATTTTATTTCCTGTAGTAAAAGCTGCATGATGTCTCACATTAAGTTGCACAGAAAGGATGGAGTTCTGATTTTTTGTTAAATTATTCCTTTTTTTTTTTTTTTTTTAATTTTTACTTTTATGCCTGTGCTGTGCACTGTGGTTTGAGTTCCCACTCTCAAAAGAAATACTTGGAGATGCACTTTCTGTGGTGTTTTAGGGACTCTTGCATCCCATGCACAAAAATGAGATATCAGACATTACTGAGTTGCCATGTGTCAGCTACCTTTGTGACTAGCCTTGAGAGCAGAGGGGAAAATGTGTCAGACAGTGAAAAGGGCTTAAACCAAAGGATTTTGTCCTGTTTGCAAAGAACATGCAGTCAGCTACTGCTGATCAGCTGATATTTGGTGACTTTCACAGGTGACTTCGGGCAAAGCAAGAGGAGTAGCTCATTTCCACTTCCACTCTCCTTCCACACCTTTTCTCCCTTTTTTTTTTCTTTCTCCAAATGGATTTATAGTTGATTATTCCCTTTAAGCTGATCTAGTGTGCAGGGCTCTAACATCTTAAAAAGTTTGCTTAGATCTGTGTCAGGATGCTCAAGAGTCAGGTTGGGTAGATACAACACCTTTACCAGACTGAATCCTCTACAAACAATGACTAATGAAGAATTAACCTACTCATGGGCAAAACTTGTGTCCTTTCATTTAAATTGTCATCTCAAACTTGAATTTTCCCTAACAGACGCTGTCTTCACTTCTTCACTTCTCCCAAATGATTGTTTTTATAAATATAACTTGAATTTTCCCTAACAGACTGGACACTGTCTTCACTGTCTTCACTTCTTCACTTCTCCCAAATGATTGTTTTTATAAATAATTTACTAGCTGGTTTTCTTGATTGTCTTCAAAAGTATAGAAAGAATAGGTTAGGGCAGACCAGTTGAAAGGATCCTTATTAGAGAGGGAGAAGCTGAGTTCCTCATCTAGACTGCTTGCTTTGGTTTTATCACATTTTCCAAAGGGGCTGAAAGGTCACTGTGCACCCAGGAGGGTTCAAAAGTTATTATAATAAATGGGATTGTGATTAAATGATGCTCCCTCAGCACTTGGCACAGGTAGCAGAAGAACCATAACGCAGGGTTTGTGTGTCCCTCCTCTAGATATTGATTTATGTGTGATTTTCTCCCCCATAGACTTTGTCAATGATAGGCAAAAAAGGAGGAAAGTGGTAGCCATGGATTTTTAGCAATTTTTTCTCACCTGCTTTCTACAAGTCAGCTGAGCTGAGCTCCTTGCCGTGGGGGCAGAATGGACAAACCTGTGGCCTTGAAATTGGAAAGAATAACAAGGGTTTGTTGTTTGACTTGCTTACAACTTTCCAAGCTCCCCCTTTTCCTTGCTGCCATGCAGTGAGTCTGATACTAAAAGAAATTTAAAAAATCCATAAATCCAATCTTTAAAAAAAATAAAAATCCATCAATTCCTTAGGATCCCTTTGAAATTCCTTCACTGATTTATTTGTTCTGCTTTTAGCTAACACTTTGTGGGTGCCACTCACTTATAGCTTGTATGTGGTAATAGGACAGTGGCAGCTTACTTATGCTCAAAACAAGATTTTCTTCAGCTGTTTCATGTTGTCCTGCATTTCCTCTGAGTCATCTTTACCCTAAATTGTTTTTTGTAAGTCTAGGAAAGCAAGCTTTTATTTACACATACTTTGGCTAGTACATTAGTTTTCTACATTTTTTTGGCTATTAAAGCTATTCAGTAGGAAGAAAAAAAAATATAAGATTTCTGTACAAAATTAGTGATTTTGTCTACCAGCTTTTTTTTTTTTAAGTTTTAAACCTTTTTTTTTTTTTAATCAATATGCTCATTGGAAATGCAATTTAACACCGTAGTAAAGAAGATTCATAGAGTGACATGCTCTTAATAAATTCAGTCCCCCAGAATTATTATCTCCTAGTGCCTGTCTTTGCCCATGTCCATATTCTGACCTTAACTGGGGATGATATTTGATGATTGATGGTGGTGATTTGCTGATGATTGGTGGTTAATGATTGTTGATGTTATTTTCAGAGTGTTTTCATGGAATGTTTGTACGGTATTTAGAAGAATTATTTATGTTTTGGGATGTGAGAGATTTTGAACATACTCCAGTTTCTTTTTCCTGTGTGCTCTCATGAGCAGTCTGTGTTTGATAATATTAAAAATTACACTCTGGATTTACCATACTAAGCAGAAATTTAAAGATTTCAAGAGCCTGAACCCTCAGTTCTCCTTTTTCAGTCAGTTACCCTTTGTTAAGCAGTGGCCAATATTTGGCTCTTCTGGCTCCAGACAGTTTAATTATTTTAGTACATGCTGTGCATCTGCAGCTCTTTGAGAATTCTGGAACCTAGAAATAAGCCATCAAGCAATGGCAGAAGGCTGTTTTGTACATTTTATTTTATTTTATTTTATTTTTTTCATGCTACATGTGTAATAAACTTATATTTAAGTTTACAAGACAGTGTCTCTGTCTCATCAGCACTCAGTTAATTCACTTGTAATGGCACACAAATCATGCTGTTTGAAATACCCCGTTCACAGATCATTTTCTAACAGAAGCTGAGGTTATTTTGGACTGGTGATAAGTACACAAGCCATTAGAAGGACATGAAAAGGCAACACTCTCTTCAGAGGTTCCAAACTTTCTACAGCTTCCTTCTGAAGTACCACACCATATATTAAAAGAACACAGAAATAGATGAGGTTTTTTTTGTTGTTTGTTTGTTTTTCTCTCCCCAGAACTTGGCTGGATCTCAAAAGTGTATGTGAATCGACCTGCAGTGGTGAGGCATGCAGAAGAAATTAAAAAATGGAGAACTCTGAAAGGTAATTGGCAAGTAAGTGCTCTTCTTATGCATTCTGGTCCTGTATTTTTAAAGCAGTCACTCTCCCTCTCCAGGCTGTAATATTGAATTTTTTTCAAGATACATGTAAACTTAAAAGATGTGCTTGTCCGTGTCTTATTTTAGTAATTTGTATTTGATGATGATGGGATGGAATAAGGTGATGCATTTATCCAAACAAGTTAAAAACCTTATAACTCATGACTGGCAAAACTGCAAATGGATTTAAGTCATCTTTATTCATGACTGGATTAAATTGTGTATTACTATCCCTCCACATTTATTCTGTTTTCCAGACAGACTTCTCTGCATGCTGCCTTCTTATTTTTTAATTTTAAACCTGTAAGATATGATCATGGTCCCTGTCAAATTTGACCTACCTGGATGATTTTTCTTTGCTTAAACATTCTCAATGTGTGTGATTTCATTGCTTAACTAGTTTTTTAAGCTAAAATTCAAAAATCCTGACTGTCTGTGGCATTTGGTGGGGGGAAGGAGCCCACTAATGTCAGGAAAACTGACTTTTCAGCTGCTGAGATAAGGTAAATGGTTGGTTATGGTCCATCTTAGCATAAAAAGACAAACTTTTTCTCCATTCACCAAGCAGCTGTTCTGCCAACAATGCTTGGGATGCCTCCCCTCTGCACACTGAACAACTTGTTCATGTGCAACAGCAGCTGAAAACCTGATGGAGGATCAATCTTAAGAGTGGAATGTAACAGAGCAAAGCAAGAATAATTTAATTATACTCAATTCTTAAAAAAGTTGGTCAAAATAATTGACAGCATGCAACCATTCTGGGGTGGCTGAAGCTGTGTTCACAATGAGCACAGATTTTGGGATTACAGTTTGGGGATAATTTGGTGTAGGTGTAAGGTGCTGCTGGAAGGTGATAGAAAAAAGTTTCCTGCCTGCTTTTCCTTCCTGAAAGTTTGTGCTTTGTGTGTTATGATTAAATTTAAAAAAATGGAGATAAATGGAGGAGATTTAAACATGAGCTCAGCATTTCTTCAGAGTTTCTTATGATGCCTTGAGAAGGCTGCCCTAGAACAGGCTGGATGGAGTTCCAGAATAAAGCAGGGATTTATTCAAAGGGTCTCCTCCATGGATGCACCTTGGGCAGCACCAGAGCCCAGCCAGGGCTGCCCCCAAGATGAACCCAAATGGTCCCAAAATGCACGAGCGCTCCCGGGGTCTCTCCCTGGGATCAGCTCTGCTCCATGTGCACATTGCAGTTCAGTGTCCAATTCCAGCTCAGCCCCTGCACTCCCATCCTGCTTGTTTTTCTCTCTGCAGCCCATGGGGTTTGTGCTCCTGGGCTGAGATTTGGATCATTTGTCCTTGGTGCCCAGCTGGAGCAGGAATTGTTTTGTCTCCCTGCTCTGTGCACAGAGCTCACCATCAACACAGCTTGGGAACAGATGTTTATTCCTAACACTTCTCCCCTCTCCTGTGTAGAAACACAGGAAAGAAAACCAGAGAAAGAAACCCAGAAACACAGAAACCCAAGCAAGGCTTTCCTTCGAAGGGTGTCAGAAGCATCTCTCCTCTGTTTGAATGCTGTCACAGCAGGGCAGTCATGTGCTTTTTTCTTAACAGAGGTGATTTTGAACCTGTACATGTTTGAATGCAAGCAGCATCACAGATTCCAATTGTATAGCCTGTTTCCCAAAATACCCAGTTGGAAAACCCTTTTAAAACCCCTGAAGTTTACACCAGTTCTTGAAACCCCCTGACTACATCTGTCTTGATGACTGTGATTCATGCCAGAGGAGAGGAGACAAAAATTCCCTCAAACAGAGAATAAAAAAATCCAAGTAAAAGTAACATAAGACTATTTCTAGGGAAAACCCCTTTCAAATAATTATAGGATGAAAGGAGGAAGCAGAAACAATCAGTCAGACTTAGACTAACAGAGGCCAGTGATGGTTCATTACCCCACTGCCATTGCAAACTCTCACCCTGTACAAGTGCCCTGTAAGAGAAGTCAGCTTTGAGTGAAGCCATCACTGTAAATGAGCATTTTCTGGAAGACCTTCAACAGATAATTTAAAACAATGTCTTAAGCTCAACTTTTGTTCAGCAAAAAAAAAGCTCATAAAATTTTTCATTATGCTTCTGTTCCGTTCTTTGATTAATAAGTCTTTTAAAATTCTGAAGCATTTCCATCTAAAGACTGCTTTAACCTTGTCACCTGCCTCTTGCTTTTGGGGGTGTGTTGTGCACCGAAATTATGGATTTTTTAAATTATTTTTTATTCCTGATTCACACAAAAAGAAGTGTATCATTTTGAGGAAATACCCTCTGTACTATTAGATGCTGCTGAAGACAAATATCTGCTAGCCTGTCTATCCTAAGCCATTATTTGCTCATATGTTACATCCTATACATTTCCCCATTGTCAGAGTGAGAGCCAGGCTTCTGATTCCTGCACTTCTAAGGCAGTTTGGCTTTGGAATTGCAAACAGAAACGCTCCATTCCTTGCTTTGTTCCCTTTGCAGGCAGCTTGGCTGCTGAAAGCTGTCACCTGCACAGACCTCACCACCCTCTCGGGCGATGATACTCCTTCAAATGTTCAAAGGCTGTGCTTTAAAGCAAAGCACCCTATCAGAGAGGATCTGCTCAAAGCCTTGGACATGCATGATAAAGGTATGGTAGCTTTTGGGGTGTGTATTTTCTAGAGGAAATGTCTGTTTCCTCGTTGTTTTCTCACTTTTCAGAAAGGACCTTGGTCCATTGCTTGAAGTGGTGTGGGCCAAAGGGAAATCAGGCCTCTGATTGAAGCCATACACATAAAATATCAAAGATTAGTAATTTTTAAAAAACAAACTCGGATTTGTGGACTCTTCAGGCAGTTGAAGTATAAAATATGAGGTCAATTATCTGAGAGTTGAAGAGCATTTTAGCTGGAAATGCAGGAGGGCTGCATTAACATAAAGACTGCTCAGTTGCTGCTGGGCTCAGTCTGGCTCCACAAGTAAGAACAGAGCTTGGCAGTGCAGTTTCTCTTGCAGCAATTTGCTGATCAAGCATAACTGTGATCAAGTCTTAACTGTGTGTGTTGGCATTAAACTGTGAGTCTGTCAATAAAAATCTTGGAGTTTTAACTCCTGCTAACGCAGGCTTCCTCCCAGGGTCAGGTGAAGGAAGGTGAGGGAGGAAACAGCATGAGAATTACCTGGACTATTTGAGCAGTATAACAACACACATCCCTGGTGTGCTGCTTAAGATCCTTGTGAGAACACGGGAGTGGGAGGTGAGGACAATGCACACGTGCTCATGGAGAAGGTGGAATTCTCTGTATGAAAAAGGGAACTGTGGCTTTTGCTTTTGCAGGTATCACTGTTGGAGCAGTTTGTGTGTATCCTGCGAGAGTCTCTGATGCTGTGAACACCCTCAAGGCTGCTGGTTGTAACATACCAGTGGCTTCAGGTAAGCTTTATTCAAGAATATCCCATTAAATAGTTTGATTTTATAAAATACATAGAGAAATCCAGAAGTTTGGACTTGCTTTTGTGTCAGGGTGTAAGGTAAAAAGGTAACAGGTGGAAGGAAGGGAATGGAAGGAGAATTTTCTTCTGGTATAATCTTTTGTTGTCTTCCGACTTCAAGCTTATCAGGAATGCCAAGTCTTTGCTGGAAGCTCTTCAAAGAGGCCTTTAAAATATATCAGTGTTTTTTTCACCTGGACAGAAGAAATTGAGATAGAGTGCTGGACAAGTATCAGTATACACGTAGATGATGATGATGATGATGATGTGAATTCTAATAAAGGTTTATTTTCCCTATCTTGTTTGGCTTTTAAGTGTAATCCTGTGTCAAGGTTTAGCCCAAGGCAGCAGCTGTGTGCCACACACCTGCTCATACATCCACTTCCAGGATGGAGGGGAAAAGAGAACTGGAAGAGTAAAAGTGAGAAAATTTGTGGTTTCAGATAAGAGCTGCCTTTCTGTGCACTCCCAGCCTACTCACCAAGAAAAGGCCTTGACTCTGTGCTGGCACTGCTCTGCACTTACCAAACCACCCCTGTAGAGCCAAGGCTGTTTCCTGCACAAATCCAAAACACTCCAGGTACAATCAGGATAACTGTCCCAGACTGAAGCAGCACATCCTGCAGGCTGACTTCAGGGCAGCTGTGGGCAGAGCCAGGGGTTGTTGCCTGCTGAGCAGGTTCAGGACTTTCACATCCAGAATCTAACAGGGTCAGCTCTTCTCCAGTCATCACACATGAGGGAACAAGTCCTGAATGTGCAGGAAGCAAGAAGTACAATCAGAGAATTGCTCAGGTTGGAAGGGAGCCCTGGATGTGATCTGGCCCAACCCCCTGCTCAAAGCAGGGGCTGGCTTTGAAGTTAGATCAGGTGTTTAATGCTAAGATACATGTGAGGTTTTTTTGTTCTTGTTTCATTGTTGTGTAGGGGAAAAATACATACTAAATGCATTTATATGTCAGAGAGAAAGGCAATCTCTGACAAAGCCATTATTTTTTCCATTTCCAAAGTTACCTTTGGGTTTTATACTTAACCGTCATAAACATAATCTTAAATAGAACTCGTTGAAAGCAATTTTTGCTATATTGTGATTTAACCATTAAACAGCATTGTTGTTATTTAAGTCAAGATACCACTTAAAATAATTGGAGAAAATTAAAAATGTATATATTGCTTCATATCTGAGCTCCTTGTTTGCTCAATCTGCTGGAAGAAATAGGTATTGTGCTTTTATCTAGGCTGCTCTGGAAAACATCAAGGCATGTGAAAGATCTTTTCACAAAATGCACTTAGCTTGCTGGACATCTGCTTTTAAGGGTAGAGCCAATGTTTCTTATTGGTGAAGAGAGAGTAGGATGAAGTGCCTGTAGATTTTTAAAATCATGGCAAGCACTAAAAAAAAAAAAACCCAAAAAAAAAAAAGTTCAATTTTTTTGGTGTATTACCAGGAATATTTTCAATTTTATGGTCGATTTATAAAACTAAGACATTCATGAAACATTTCTTCCTTCTACCTGCACCCCTTTGATGCTAGTGGCTGCTGGGTTTCCATCTGGACAAACTCCTCTGGAGACCAAACTGGCTGAAATAAGGCTGGCAGTGGAATATGGGGCCCGAGAGATTGACATTGTCATTAGCAGGAGTCTGGTGCTGACTGGCCAGTGGGAAGGTAAGTAAAAAAGTTCCTTTGGCAAAGGAAAACCTTGCTATATGCACATGCAAGGTCTGTCTTTGTCCCTTTCCCAAATCTCCCCCAAATTCCTTGAAGAATTTGGTCATTACCCTCAGAGTAATCAGGGGCTCTGAGCTAAATAAAAACTATTTAATCAATTTATGACAAAGAGTTTTATTTTTTGAGAGGAATGCTGTTGGAAGTTATGTTAGGCTGGGCAGGCAGAATGACTTTGTGTTTTGAAAATTCAGGTCTATTCCCTCCGTGCCTTTAGAGGACTTTGTACAGCATTGAAAAAAATAGCAACTAAAAACCTAATTATTTGAAGAGTTTTGTTAAAAAGCCCAAGGGGCTGCTAATGTAGATGATACCTTTTAAAATATACATGTTTCATTTCTTCATGAAAACACGTATTCTAGTTGTTTTCTTTTTGCTGAAAGTTGAGGGAACAAATTGACTGTTGGTATTATTATTGATGTTCTGGCGTCTGTAGACTACTACTAATTAGTAGGAACAATAATGCTGAAGATGGTTTTTGCTCTAATTGCATCCTTAATGTACTGTGAATGGTTTGCCTTAAGTGCTGACAGTGCTCCTATAACTAATCTCCATGTGAAGGTAGACACATCATTGTCTTGGAATGAATTTTCCATTTAGCTGTATAATGCAGTGCCATAATATCCTATTTATAACAAAGCCCTGGCACCTGACTTTATTTAAGGAAATAACAGAAATCATGGTAATAGATCATGTTTTCTGGTCTTCTTTCAATTAACAGTTAGAATTGAACCAAAACCCCACGTATTTCTGCATCTGTGTTTTCAGGACTGGTTTCCTTGCTGTGATATCTTGGCCTCTTTTGTAGGATTTGCAATCTCCATACTTTTGGTCTTAGTTATTTAAGAATTTTTTTTTTTTTTTTAATATGAAGGAGAACTCAGAGGAAAAATACAGGGCATGGATTCAGAGAGAGAGTTTGGATCATGACTGAAATGAATGGGAGATGAATTACTCTTTGTGGTCACAAATTACAAGGGAGGAGTGCACAGACACTGCAAAGATGGATGTGATATAAAGCTGTCACTTTACTAAATAAGTAAATTAGGGATGGCTTTTAATTTGGTGTGCATATTCTTTTATCCAGAGCTGAAGTCTTGAAAGGTTGAAGACCATCCTTATTTTATATACATATTTTACATATATTTTATATATATATATATAAAAACAATTCTATATATAATATAAAATTGTTATATAAATATATATAAGATAAAATATATCTATATCCATTTATCGATATTATATAATAGAAATAATATAAAATATAAATAATATCGATAGGTCATATTAGTTATAACTATAACTATAAATATAACTATAAATAACTATAACAATAACTGTAACTATAACTATAACTATAAATACATATACATATAAATGTAATTTTTTTTTTACCAATGGCAGAATTTAAATAATTTCCAAATGATTTCCTAAGTTTATTCATGAATCTGAATCTGTTTGTGACACGTGTTTATGTGATCTTGAAAAAAAGCTACTTCAGGAACAGAATTTACTTGCCACAGGGATGCCACAAGGTGAAAAATTACAATATTTAACTTTCCTATATAAAAAGAAAAGTATTTCATTAGGTGATCTGGATATTTTGGTGAAAACGTAGTGTTCTGTCTTCTTGTTTAGATTTCAATAGATATGTTACCTGTGTGATTAGGAATAATGTAGAATAATCCATAAAATACTTACAAAGAATCCAAAAGAAGGAACAAAGAAGGATTTTTTAGGCTAAATCCCTATATTACATAAAATTAAATAGTGCAAATTAAAACCTGTGCCTGTGTTTAAGGTGCTTCATCAACTAAAGCTGCCTTGCAGTTCTATTATAACTTATGCTAATTGTAGTAGTCATTATAATAATAATAGAAATAACAATAATAATAATAATAATATGCTTCTATGGGTATTTTCTTCTGCTGACAGTCTTCACAACTTCTGAAGATATTGAAAAAAAAAGTCTATGTGGTGGAGTGCTTTTTAGTTCATTTTTAGCTTTTCTTCTTGCCTGTGCAATAATTGGGGTCACCACAATAGAATAGTGTTGCTTTGTGATTTGCTTCAAAGGCTTGTTTGGTTATTAAATATTTTAGTGTGTGTCCAATTATGTCAAGTTATTTTAAAGAAGTTCTTGAATATTGCTGGAGCTCTTTATGACACTCAGAATGCATTTTCCAGATCTTTGTGAAGAAATTGTTAAGATCTTTTAAATAATGCTGAGTATGAAAGCAGCTTTATTGGACAGCTAAATTACATCAGAAAATAACATGAAATGAGATATAAGTTTATGCATTTGCATACCTTTTAGACCCTTTTAGCTTTTAAAGCTATACTGCTTTAAAGTAGTTTACTCAGCTATTGTCTTGTATTACTTGGCAAAGTATGGATTAAACATAAATTATCAATTTGGATACTTCCTTCAGGCACAGAATGTGGAGCCTTTACGTAAGGAGTGATCAAGTTGACCAACAAATTGTTGAAATAGACTGGATCTATTTATTATTCATTTTTTTCCCCCTGTCACCAGCATTTGCTGCACCTCCTGAAGCTGTGTGGGGTGCAGCAATGTTCGTGCTAATTCCAGAGCTGCTAGCAAACACTGGACGTGCTACACTGCCAGTGGCTGCAGGAGCATTGTTACCCCATCATCTGCTCTGTGGCAGGTGGATTTTCCTGTAAGAAAAGGGAAAAAAACCCCAGTTAGAGAAATTTGAGCATGGCTTCATCCATGGTATAACCCCATTATGAAAAGTGCTTTTCACTGCTGCTGATTTTTTAGGCGTGGGTTTGGAGGCTTGGATCAGGGATTGGGACCTAATTTTCATAAACAGCACAGGCCAAACACATTCCTTGCTCCAGAGCCCTGGAGAAGCCTCCCCACCTTGCTCAGGAAGATTTTAGCTGGATTTACCATTTCTAGATGTGCAGACTGCACAATTTCTGTCCGGTGTTGGCAGCAGCAGCTCAGGCTCCTGAAGCCCAGCTCTGTTTCCAGAATGTGAATTCCTGGAGCTGCACCTATGTGCAACCTACGTGCACCTATGTTCTCCTTTTATTTTTGAAAGGAGTGGGAATTTTTACACTTGAGGGAGCTGTGCTGTGCTGATAGCCTCCTGCTTGTCATTTTAACAAACCTGCCATTAACATGCCAGACACAAGGGGCTCCAGCTCATTCTCCAGTTTCCAGCCCATCACAATCGCCTTGATCTCTTGGGCTAACTGAAATCAAAATATCTTCTCATCTCAACTTCTGTTCACTGTCACTGACTTGATAAAAATACCAAAAAAATTGAATTTTTTAAAGAAAAGTGATTTTATCATGACATTTTTGGAGAGCTATTCCATTAAAAAAAAATAAAAAAAATTAAGTAGTGTGTTTTTCCCCCTCCTTTAATATTTTCATTTCCTTTGTAAGAGATCTGGATTATCCCCTTTATTTTGTGATTTTTAGGACTAATGTATTACATCAAAGTAACAGACCATCTACACAATCTAGTGCAGATTACAGCCAGCAGAAATTATCAGGGATGTTTGTTTGGGAAATGTAGGAATGTAAGGTAAGGAAGGAACATTTTCTCTGCTGTGTTTAACAGCTGCTAAAATTCAATATCATGTACTAAATACTTACAGTGTTAGGAAAATGACACGGAAGCTTACAACTCTTATGTTTTATAACAGTGGAATTAAAACCACAGCTATGAAAGCATTTTTTCCCCTACAAAATGGGATTTTCTCTGACTTCTATAAATGCATCTAGTAAAAGCAGATCTAAAGGTCATGAAAACTGTCAAGTTGCTCAAGTGGTGCAAAGTGGAAGAGTTTTTGTCACATCCATTTTAACAGCTGGTCACTAGAGCTACTGCACACTGCATTTGTGAGCAGCAGGCTCCAGGTATATTCTATATAGGTTGGCTTGCTTTGGGTGTTTTTTTGTGGGTTTATTGGCTTAGGTTTTAGAGGCTTTTTTGCTTTTTTGGTTTTTTTATTCCTGGCTTAAGTTTTAGGCTGCTTTTAGAAAGGATTATATTGATGCTTTGTTTAATATGCTGGAGAGTACTGGCCATTTGCTTTGAGAGCTTTTTCCTTGTTTTTAGGAGTCAAAAAGAAATTTTCTTGCAGCCTCCTCATGGTGTTCTTGGCTTGTTAGTTGAAAATATGCCTGCAGGGTTTCCTGTGACAGAGTTTTCTGACCAAAATCTTTGTGCCACTGCTGTAACCAGAGACGCTGTGTGTGCTGTGGCTGTTGCTGGCGTTCTGCACAGCTCACAGATATTCCTGCATTTGTAGCACCCAGCTTTGGTCCTGCTGCTGTTCCTCTTGATGGAACTGAGTCATTAAGTGCTGGACTTTTTGGCAGCACTGTCCCACAGGAAGCCCAGCACTCCTTGAAACCCTGAGTACATTTTGAAGTGTGTCTAACTGCACCCGTACATTAGACATTTGCCCAAGATTTTCAGGATAATCCCTTTATTTGTGCCTTGATTTAAATCCGAGTACTGAAACTTCTCCTTTTATTTTTGAAAGGAGTGAGAATTTTTACACTTGTTCTGTATCAAAGCAGTTCCAGCTTGCACTGGGACTGGGGTTCTCTGTCCCAAATACAATTGCATTTCTCTCTGTACTTTTACTGTGCAGTTGAAAATGCCCTGCGAACGTCAGCTGCTGCCTGCAATAATTGGTCTCTGAATAAAGAACAGCATTTCTTACCTACACCCCTGCCCCACTGAGGTGTGCCCACTTTTCCTCCACCCCAGCTAAGCTGCCAGACACGGGTGATTGAGGATCCTGAGTCGTTCCTGGCCGTGGGATGATGTGTGCTGGCAGGCAGCGAGGCTGCTCGAGCGAGCCTGACGCTAATTGCATGTAAAAGCACCTTCCAACTGCAAGGGAGGGTGCTGGAGCTGCAGTGCCAGGGAACAACAGCTGTGAGGATGTAATTTCTTTTCGTGGAATCCAACCTAAATGTACGTTTTGTTGATTTTGTTTTGACATTTTTTTGTGGCGTATCTCGAAGGTAGGGAAAACTTTTTCCTCTTGTTACCGAAACTAGAAGAAGAAGAAGAAGAAAGCTGCTTTCTCTGGGTTTTCAAAAGCTTCAGGAAAGAGTTGCTCCACAAAAAGAGATTTCATTTGGATCTGACATGAGCAGGGTTATTAAATGCACCAAAAAAAAAAAAAAAAAAAGCACAGGTCCTTTGTGTTTCCTTTTTGAGCCTCGATTTGATGTAGGTTTCTGGAGCATCACCAATTGATCAATAAAACATGTTAGACTGCATGCTAGTTCTGATTAATTCACACCTTTGGTACACAGTGAGAAACAAGGTGAAGCCTGGTGTCTATAAAGGGACTTGCTAAGTGCATCAGCCAGTTGTCTGCTAATGTGTGCAGCGTGTCTCAGAAGGCCAGCCCAGCAATTCCAGCCCTGGACACCCTGGTGTGCCCATGGCATCCGTGGGATGAGGGCCCTGCCACAGCTGCCAAAGCTGCCCCATGCTTCCAGGTCTTAAGGGCTGAGAGGAAAAGAAGTCTAGTATTGCTGAACAAAGAAAAAAAGTCTTTCTAGCTTGGACTGTTTTAGCAAGACCTATTTAAAGCTGTATTTTAGCCTTCTGTCAAAGAACTTTTTGATTATGTGTTTGAAGATTGAGTACAGTTTGTGAAAAGGACCCTCTTGCAAAGCATCCTGTTTGTTTATTTTGCATCTTAGTTTTTTTTAAAATTCAAAGTCCAGAAATGGTGTCTGTGCACTGTAAGAGCTGCTTTTCTCCCAAAACAGGAGCAATTTTAACATCCCCAAGCAGCCAGCTTCTGACAGCAATGCTTCATTAGTTTCTGGCTGTTTTAGTCTCCCTCTGTGTAAACTTTGGTGGGAGCACTGCTGAATTTTACCAGGAAGGGCAGAAGGGAGGGTTTCACTGGCCAGGTGCAGAGGAAAACATAGCTGTCTCTGAGTACTGATTCAATGTACTGCCATATTTATTGCTGGGAAAGCTGGTTTAAGATCAATCTTTACTATCATAGCATTTTTTACTGCTGATGTATTCATGGGTACTTCGTACATTTGTATTTTGAGAGAGCAGACATTAATAGCTATTAAGTAAAGTCTGAAACTGCACGGCATTGTTAATTACCTCCAGTCATGTAATTTATTGAACTTACAAAACTTAAGTTCCTGAGTGCTGCGACTAATTACAAGATTGGAAATTAATCCAGAAGTGGAAATTACAGCCATACTTGAAAATACCTCTCAGGCAACTTTGATCATTTCCACATGCTTTTATCCCCAGATCTGTACCAGGAGATCCGTCTGTGCCGTGCAGCCTGTGGAGAAGCTCACATGAAAACAATCTTGGCTACAGGTGAACTGGGCTCCCTTGCCAACGTCTACAAAGCCAGTATGATAGCTATGATGGCAGGTAAATGCACTTGGTTCTCCTTTTAAGCTAAGAATGTCTTTGCTATTTTATTTATGAGGCTTAAAAAATTGCGGTTTTGGAAGTTTGGTTTTGTCGATGGCAGGAAAAAATTTGTGTAGCAATTACTGAAGCTGCAGGTGGAGTAATGAAGTGTCACTTGTTTTGTGTAACCTACCAAAAACTGCATGAAATGTTAAGTAAGGAGCTGCTGAAGGGTTGTGGGAACAAGTGAAATTCGTTGTAAAACATCAGAATATTTAATAAAGGCATTTGGGGCAGGCACACTTCTGGAGGCAGTTGTGGTGACCTACAGATGGGATGGGGGTAGGCGGCTCACAAGCTTGTTTTAAATGCAAGGGGAACTTCCCAGTGAAGATTCATGCCAAAAGCTCTCAGTTTTGGTTTGTGATCACTTCTAGCCACCTCTGAGAGGGAAACTCAGGAAACCAACCTTCCAGAACAGGACAGGGTTCCCAGGGGCTGTGCAGACCTTGTAGGTGTTACATTTTTGCTTAGCTTAGCACCCATTTGATCCCAGATTTGGTACAACTTTTCCTATAGTTCTGTGGTTTAGTGCTATGTTGGAGATACAAAATTGGAAATTATCTCCCAGGCACTTGCTTTTCCCACCGTGCTTTAAAGTGGGCTCCTCAGTTTTATTTCTAGAAGTGTAAAGACATACTGAGAACCACTTGGGTTAGTCTGTCTTCTAAACTTCCCCTCATTCTTTATGGTTTTTTTCCCCTCATTTTTTCTTCTTCAGACTTGAAATTCTTACATTAAAGCAAGAAAAATGTATAATCAAGTGTTTTGTCAGTATTTAAATAAATATTCAGCTTGCTGCTGACCTCACTGTTAGCATACACAGTTCTGTGCTTCTCTGATTCAAGTGGAATGGAGAGCGTTTCAGGCTTCTAACAAGCCCAGCTACAATGTCAATTAGTGTCATTAGACACAGAGGATCAGTATTATGCCACTAAATATTGCTTTTAATTAGAAGAGGTGTAAGAAATACACATTTCCTCTTATTTAAGCTGATGCACTAATCATTGTGATCACTTTTTGTACCACTGAGTAGTGAGAAATTCAGCTTGTAAAGCATTTTACCGTTTTCAGAATTTTGCTGGTGCAGTTTTTTTGAAATACAGCAGATGGCTCTATTGTTAATGATTTTCCTTGCCTAGTTATTCATTTTACAAGATACTTATCCATCTGAATACATCCAGTAATTTCCTTATTTCAGTCTTTTGCTTTTTCTTTGTGGGTAGGCATAAAAATAAGAATTTATTTGCACTCTACATACATCCATTGAGGGCCAGGCTTTCAGACTCCAACTTGTCAGAACTGCTGAGAGCCTCGAATTCCAGTTGAATTTTATTTTATTTGTATATTTGTATCATTCTGGGGAGAAAGTGAATCCACAGTATAGTGGATTCAGCTGAAAAAGTGGCTTTAGAAGTTCTTGCTGCCTCTGACCAGTTCCTCCTATCCTTTACAGCAAAATACAATTCCTTCAGCTGTGCTGTTAGAAATGCTTCTCATTGTGAGCCGAGTTGTCAAAGAATTACAGTTGAAAATTATTCCAGAAAAGGGTTAGCTAGTTAGCTGTGGGGTTTTTGATTGGTTGGCAATGTTTCAGGGTTTTTTTTAAATGGTCACAGCCTCAGAAATCTGGTTCACAGCCTTGCTTTGCATGCAGTTGCATCAGTGCAATTGGGGATGTGCAAACTGATCTTGCTTCACCATCCACGATGCCAGCCTGTCATGTGGGGAGCACCAAATCCTGGGGTTACACATGTTTGCAGTGCCTTGCTGAGCATGCACGCGTTCACCTGAAGGTCCTGAAGCACAAAGCCACCAGGTGTATAATATATAAAATATAATACAATTCATATAATAATATATAAAATATATAATATAAAATATAGTCCATAATATATTATAGACTATATACATATATTTATTACATTATAATATATAATGTAATAATATATAATTAAACTCTATCGTATATATATAATTAATGTGATGTAATTAAATTATATTTAAAAATAAAAAATGAATAAATTATATATAAAATAGACTAGTTTATATTTAAAACGTATATATTTTATATATAATATAAACTAGTATATTATATAGACTTTCCCTCTGTGTGAACTCTGGTGGCTCCTGTCACCTCTGAAATAATTCTCCATGGCTATTTTTTCTTCTCTAGTAAAGTCCATAAGGGGAATGACATCAGAATGGGTGCAGATTCACAGGTGTCTTAAATCCCTTTAACCATGCCATTACCAACTTGAGTGACACGCCATAAATTCTTCTGGAATATTTAAGAAGCTGTTTCTGAGTGAGAGAGGCTGACATGCCCCTAAGGACAGTGACTCACCTGGCAGGAATAACCTGTGCAGTGCTGAGGAAGGCAGGATGGCAGGGAGCTTTGCACAGCAGTGCCTCTGTCCCACTGCCAAAGGAGCTCCTGGATTTTGGAATGCTGCCTGAGACAATCTGTGGTCTTTGTGAGGGTCCCAGGACAAGGGAAGAGATGAATCTGACTCCATGTTCTCAGAAGACTGATTTATTATGACACGATATTATATTATATTAAAGAATGCTGTACTAAAACGATACTAAACTATATAGAGAAGATACAGACAGAAGGCTTAACAAGAATGATAACGAGAGCTCCTCAGAGCCTTGACACAGCTGGCTGTGATTGGCCATTAAGTCAAAACAATTCACGTGGAACCAGTCAAACATGCACCTGTTGGTAAACGATCTCCAGACCACATTCCAAAGCAGCAAACACAGGAGAAGCGAATCAGATAATTATTATTTACATTTTTCTCTGAGGCTTCTCAGCTTCCCTGGAGAAGAAATCCTGGCGAAGGGATTTTTGTGAAAATAGGACAGTGACTACAAACCCCTAGAACCTGATTCCTAGAACCAGGGAATTTTGGGTTTACAGCCTCTGTTGCCATTTCTTGTGCTTCTTCAAGTCCTGGTGGTGATCTGAGTGCCTGAGCTTCTCAAGAAAACTGACTGTGTTTTGGACTCTGCTTTGGGGACAGAGAGTGAAGGAATTAGTGGTGTTCAGTGTCTGGTGCATCCTTGTGTACATCATGTCCATTTCTACAGGAGACACCCAAGTCTGTGCCTAAGTAGTCTCTTTATTTAAATAAACACTCCTAAGGAACACAGATGGGTGCCTGACTCCCCCCTGCTAGTTGTAACTGTTACATATTTCTTCAATGAGAATTTTCAAGAAGAAATGTTTCCATTTCTTCTTGACAACGTTCAAGAAAGCGTTCTTGTACATAGTATGAGAGGTGGGCCATTTTCTTGACACAAATATCAGAAACAGGCAAAGAAGGCAGACAAGGAAGGGAAAGATGAACTTGCAGTAGGAAAGGAATGCAGCTCAAAGTTGAAAGAAACAGCTTCAGTAAAGCTGTTGATGACTTAATTGCATATTCACTCATATATAAGGATTTTATTCTGGAAAACCGTATTACCTAATTCCAAGTCTTTACTGTACTGTGTAACAATTCATAATCATTAAGATATGCAGGCTAGGGAAGAGGTGGAGGAAGTGATTTCAAAGGTACTTTGAAAGTGAAAACTTGATCTGTGTCATTTTGACTGTGAAAACTGCTCCTTTTATGCCACACTTTGGGAAGCTGCAGGAGCACAGCAGTGACATATGAAAGACACTTGTTTTCTCTATATATATCTAAACAAGGACCTGTGTAAAGAACAGGAAAGAGTGATAAATGTTCTTCTGCAGCTCTACTGATGTGTGGGTTTGAAACAATTTTTTCATAGATTATTAAACAATTAGTCAAATAAAGGGTATGTGGAGATACTGACTAATGTACACATTGAATTTATGAAGGGAATGAGTTAGTGCTAAAACAAATCAGCTTTTAAATCTCTAGACCAAAAAATCCTGCAAGAAGTAGCAGAAGGTGGCTGAAGCAATAAGGTCTCTAATGTCTAGAAGGGGAAAGTTAAAACACATTGAATATGTGAGCAGAAATGGTTTTAGATCCTTTGATGCTGTTCTTTCCAAAGTGAACAGAAACAACACAGCCAAACAGTGAGGAAAAGCTTTGTGCTGTAGTTTACAGGAGAGAGAGATAGTTTGGAACATCACAAAATAATGCCTGGCTACACAAAGCTTTTACCTCAGCTCTAAATAAGATTTTTATTCTGGGGTTAATATTAGGGAAGACAAACTCTAGGATGCCAATAGCCCCTGTTGTTCTGAGCACTTTCTTGCACAGATTTGTTCAGAGCAGGGTGATGTGGTGTGGCTGTAAACGTGCTAGCAGGTATCTGAGTGCAAGGGCTCACCTCCTCTGCTGGATATGGACCACTAGGAACCAAAACTTCTGCCAAGTCACTGTTTCATGAAAAATGAGAGACCAAGGAAACCAAACTAACCTAGCAAAATTGACTGAAAAGCAAGGCATGCTCTGCTCAAATGCAACTAACATAGAAAACAAGACTACTGAATAAATAATAATGCTTAGTACTTTATGTCTTCAAAGCACATAACTGACATTAGCAGAGTAAATCTTATAATTGCCTTGTGAAATACAAGAAGAAGATAATAACAGACAAAGCAAAAGTCAAACTGAGATCAGTTGTGAGTTTTGGCTTTAAATCTCATGCTCAGTCCAAAAATCAAGGGTCTTCCCTCAGTAACATGTGAGTTGCGTTATGTGTTGATTTAATTATGTGTCTACAATTTCAGCTGTAATTTGATACTAAGTCAGTCGGTTTTTGGAGCCCAGAGCATTTGCAAATGAAAGGCAAAGCAAGGGAGGAGGCTTGATAACACACAAACAAAAATTCACTTTGTGTCTTGTTTTACTTGTCTGAAATACAACCAGTTGTGTTGGGCTTATGGTGTGTCTGTAAAGGGCACACTCAACCTGTAAAACATCCACCAGAAATCAGAAACAGCTCCTTTCTATGGCTGTGATCTGTGTCTG